GACGGGCAAAGGATTGGCAGACCGTCAGACGGAAATGACGTAGTTTTTCGCAATGCCATATAAGACTTAAAAACACAACTGCGCGCTTCGAAACTGACGCTTCATCTTTGAATATTTTTGAATGAAATTTTTACAGCGTGCTGAGAACAAAACCGTACAGGGTGCAATCGAGCCACTTTTTCATTTTTTCCACTAGGCTCTCTTTAAAAAAATCGCAAAGTTCAACAAAAAGAGTAGGCATTTTAACCCACCATAAATCTTGTGCAAAAAAACTAAATTTCAAGAAATGCTCCGTTACCACCCTGGGCAATTGTCTTCTGAACCTGCTGTATCAGTTCCATTCAAAAATATTTAAAAATGGAGTGTCAGTTTCGAAGCAGCTAAACCCTTGGAAATGACTTGAAACTCACTGCGTCGGAGGATAATCCTTCAAACAACTTCTGAATATCTGCTTCTGAATCAGCCAAGAAGCATTACCTACTTGAATAACAATAATCGCAGCAAATTCGCAGTCGTAACACTTGAAATCTTGCGCCGCACAGTGGTTCAGAAAGCACCATTTCAAGTATCAAGATTTCTAATGTTGTTACTGGTAAACCGATTTTTATGAGCCATGCCTCATTAGAAAGCTAAAGAAATTCTCGTTAAAAAATTGTATCAAAAATTGTCAAATGGCAAAAATTGAAGGTGGCTGCACTATACACAGAGCGTCCCTAAAAGCTCTTTACAAAATTTTAGCACATATTACTGAGTTCTAAATAAGCCGACTTGACGTAACTTACTTTAGTCCAAAATTGCTCCGATTCCGAGATACAGGGTGGCAAAGTTAGAAAATAAAAATTCTTTTTTTTTATCCATGAACATTTCTTCAAAAATTGGTACCCTCCGGTTTTTGGGATGCGAAATCCGAATATAGACATTTTTTCATTGTGGAAGTTCGAAAGCGCTTCACACTGCACTTCGGATCGTTTTAAATGGCCACAACTTGTTTCTCAGTGTAGTTTTTTAATTTTTTTATAAAATAAACAATTTCCTCGATATGTTTAAGCAAAAAAGGCACTTTTGTTAAACTAGGGCAAATTTCTGCATGAATGCGGGTTGTGGGGACCCAAAATCAAAATGCTCAGAACTTTACAAAATTGACAATATGATAGATCCCGTCAAAATAAACAGTTTTTTTCCCATAATAAAGATGTGAATCAAATTTAGTGAAAATAGCTGTAGTCTCAAAAAACTTATGACGAAGAAACGATATTTTTTTAAACATTTATCTCGAGCATTAAAAGTATCAATATAGAGATTTTAGCATGGATGTACTTGTCACCATATTCGAAAGTCCAAAGTGGTAAGACTCTTACCAAACTTGCATTCCTTAACATATGATAAAGATTTTATGGTATATGAGACCTCAGGCTAAAAGTATTTTTTGAATGAATTACACATACAGATTCTGAACATCTTAAATTTTTTGATGCTCGGATGACCTGTAAAGAAACATTGAAAATAAGCGTTTTTGATAATTTTTCCCCGAATACTTTGTTACTGCATACTAAGTTTAAAAAGGTCAGAAAACTAAGTTTGATTATATTAAAAATGTCACTATCCCAAAAAGGAAGTTGATAACTAAGACGAAGGGTTAAAAGAAACTTGAAAAAACATAAAATGGAAATTCATGCCATTTTTTCTTCCTACGCCATGATCAATATCAATAAAGATTTTTGAATATGATTTTTTAAAATCTCATTTCTTATATTCTACAGGCTTCAAAATCCATTTTAAGAGGTTGAGAAATTGTATGTTTGTACAAATTGAAAATATTTCGTATTAATGCATCAGAGCTACTAGACATTTCTTATTATTTTATTTTTCATACTTTTTTACAATTAAAAATGATCACAAAATTGACTATAACAAGGACAAAATGGTGAATGTGTCTTTCAGAATGCTAAATTGATGCTAAAAAGTATCAGTTTAAACTATGATCCAATTGGTATTTTTTTCGATAGAAAATTCCTACAACTAACAATATTGGAAAGCTTCTATCGATTTTGAACTAATAACAAAACATTGAATTGACCGGTTTTTGCACCGAACCCTTAAATTGCACTGCTTTACGAAATAGTGTGAAAATGTGACTACACATTTTTGTAACGGCTTAGTATGAATAATAATATTCTCAACGAGCAAATGTCACAATATTCATAGTTGTGACTTTAACTAGTTGTTTCTAGAAAAGTTTCAGTAAATTAAAAATGAAAATTATTCATGAATCCCGATATAAAATGTCATTTAGAAGTCAACTTCTCAAATTCTAGTAGCATCCACCATTTTGAAAGCAGATATATTGGAGATCCTATATAGTTTTCATATATGAAGTCAGGCGGACATAAATGGACAAATTAATAGGTCTGCATGCTATCAAATGTGACAGTGACAATTCCACACAGGAATGAGTGGGAACAGCAAGTTAACCTGATTAGGAAAGATATCTGTGCATACACAGATGGCTCCAAGACCGAGGTAATTGTTGGAGCTGGTATCTTCGTGCCGAAGCTAAAGATTAAAAAATCTGTTAACCTAGGAACCTGGACATCGATTTTCCAGGCAGAGCTATATGCTATAGAACTCGGTGCCAGAATCATCGCAGAACCACAACTGAGGCACAGAACTATTATTTTTTCAGATAGTCAAGCCGCACTTAAAGCACTTGAATCTACCTACTCGACATCGAAACTAGTGTGGAATTGCAAAGAAGTTCTCGGTGGCATAGGGGAGGGAAATGAAGTCCGTCTCACATGGATACCAAGACAAATGACACAGCTGACACTATGGCAAAGAGTGTGGTTAGCACACCCTTCATAGGACCTGAGCCAGCGATTGGGATTGCATACAATACGGCTAAACAAATAATCTCTGCAGAGATGGACAGAAGGATCCATTAATACTGGGAGGGATTAGCAGGGTTAACCCATCTTGACAAAGAAGGACACAGACTCTGTGGTACAGCTGAAGAGGAATAGCATCAAAGCTCTAATAGGACTGTACACTGGTCATTGCGGACTGTGCATGGAGGGAGATGAAACGGTCAAGCATGTATTGTGCAGATGCCCTACAATCGCCAGAATCAGGTACAACATACTTAGAGACGTAGTAGTCCAATCAGAAGACCTGAAGGATATTTCTCCAAACAAGTTGATCGACTTCCTCAGGAGGTCGGAGCTAATGGGGGAAATATAAATAGGTGTGAGTCACAATAGACCAGAGAGTCGCAGTGGAGGATCGTTATTGATGCACCTAGATCCTAGACCTAGATGCTATCAAATAATTCATCACATCAAACGACGTCTAAGGTCTAGGTCATACCAATTACCTTTTTCGTTTTTTTTGGAGCTTTTGTTCAATCCCCTTTTTTTGAAGCGCATTGTATTATCAGACGTTACACTTTGACCTACTGATTTGCCTAGCCCTGATTCACGTATGAAAATTGATGCTAATGTAGGATCTTCAGCTGATTACGGTTCTACTGCCAAATGTCAATTGCTATTAGAGTTGGAGAACTCGTAATTTCAGACAAATCTTGTATGAAACCGTTTTCTCTAACTGTAAAGGTTTAGCTGCTGTCCTCCGCATACGCTTATGTGGCCCACCCTTTAGTCTAACCTTTTCAAAGTAGATTTTCAATTATTGAGAAGGGGAGAATCACAGATGTGACACATTTACGCTAGGGGATCTAATCTCATTTCGGATAATGCTTTGGACGCCGAAATGCAGTATACGAAAGGATATCTTCAGGTCGAATACGCTATAACCTAAGAAAATATGTTCTCCATTTTTTTATTATTTTATATTTTTTGTTTCAAAACGGCGCCCTGCCAATTAGGCTTCTTCCTGCATGGCTGAATCGATGCTAAATTATATTATTAGTTTATATATATTTCAAATCTATTATCAATGAGAAGCAAAAGGATTTATGTCAAAAGCATTTGCCGTGCAAAATTATCGGAATAAGCGCATTGTTCATCTGTTTGGTAATTATGAATCATGTGTTATTTAGACTCGAATATATTTTTTCTAATCTTAACGGACACTTGCTATAAATATTTATTGACGATGCATGCTTGCATACCTTTCCGGTGTATAGCCATAATGATAATGTATTATCAATAATCATTCTTTTCTCGAAAATGGCGACAAGAGCAACCGGCTTACGAATTCCTGTTAATCTATTGTTATAAAATGCCCTCAATCATTTTTTTTTTTTGGCACTAGGACATTGCCCCATTAGCCAGAATCAAGTATTTATCTATTATATCATACACACATACATAATTTAAGACGTGTAAAATGGCAATGACGTAGCAAGCAGATACCCTCAGCTATCAGGGTATTGCAGGAAAGACATTTTGGTGACACAGTCGTATTTGGGCGAAGGAGCAAGTACTTAACAAACAGTAGGGAGAAATTGATTATTAAATTTCTTCTAATGCACACTCTCCACTCTGGATGAAAAACAAAAAAGTTAATATAGAAGAACTAAGAAAGTGTTATCAGGAGGGGGCGGGGGTTAAGCATTACACACAAATTTTCAGATGACATTCGTGTCTAAAGGACACCATAACTACATATTTAACCTATGCAACTCTAAGGGGTAGGAGAGAGGATGGGTCAGACAGGGACACACGTTCTTCTCGCCCAGGGACCCGTCAGGGCATTTTTCATTTTTCACATACATCAATTAGGCCACGGATATGAAGGATATATTTATACATAAAGGTACAAAAAACAGAGGATAACTAAAATACGATTGTTATATTTTGATGCCAGAATTTCTGATAAATTTAACAACGAGAATGATCACATCAGATCTACCTAGCGAAAATACATGAGATGTATTTAGGGGGGCAGATATGCTAGATTTCACCAAATCGGAGTAGAGTGCATTGCAGTGATCCAGGAATTTAGCGCAACCAAAGAAACAGTGATCCAAGTCACCATAAACTTCACAAACATCGCACAGTGCAGATGGGACCAAATTTAATCTTGCAAGGTGTGATGGAAAAACACCATGTCCTATTTTCGCACGGGTGATGCAAGAAATATATTTTCTTGGGTATTTTGAAATTTTCGTGCCAGTATCCTCGTGGCAGGCTAGGGTGTATGAGGTTGTATCTTATAGGATTAGTAAAACAGTATTCTATCCATTCACTGCGCCATCGCTTGAGCAAATTACCTTTAAGTATCACTCGATTGTCTTGCATGCTTAAGGGTATGTCCAGCTTAGTTCCAGATGTTATACTCATCTTTGCTAGATCGTCAGCTTTTTCGTTGTGTATTATCCCAGAGTGGGCCTTCACCCAAACTAGTGTAATCCTGAGGCCTCGTTGTTTTAGCTGACTTATTTTCCATCGTATGTTGAATAAGTGTATATTTTGCATATCGAAAGGACTGCCGTTTTTTAAACTACTGACAACAGAGAGGGAGTCCGAGAATATAGACGTGTTACCAAGATTGTGGTCCTCTACAAACTGTAGGGCTTGGAATATAGCAATAGCTTCTGCAGAAAAAATCGTGAATTCATTTGGTAGTTTAAACATGGAAAAATATCTATTGAAGGAATATAATGAGCGCATCCCGTTCCTGAGGCCGACTTCGATGCATTGGTGTAAATGAATGCATCACCTGCTAATTTACTCTGCACTTCTCGAAGTAGGTTCTGAATGTGGTGTGGTTGTTGCTTGTAAGCTGGTACTCTAACATCAAATCCTGATAGTAAATGAAAGTAACTTATATCTTGGATCAATCGTTGGCTATGAGAGGTTAGTTGTATTCTGTTGGCATATTGTATGGCACTGCATAGAGGCAGGGAGTTACTTTTGGTCCAATATTTGCATGTCAAGTCCATGGTGTTTAGACGATGAATTTTGCTCAGTAAGTGGCTGTCCGCGTGTTGTACCTTAAGTAGAAATCTGCTAGATAACATTTGCCTTCGAAGATGTAAAGGAGGCTCCTGTGCTTCTACTCGCAAAGGTCCGACTGGTGACGATTGCATTGCTCCAAGACATTTCCTGAGAAATTTATTCTGAGTTATATCTAGCATATGAAGGAGATTTTTACTGGCAGAGCCATAGAATATGCTGCCATAATCAAGGATAGATCTAACATATGATCTGAAGAATAATATTGCGATCTTTTGATAGGAGCCCCACCATACCTTGCAGATCATCTGGAAAAAATTGAAGGCTTTCTCATATCTACTGACTACTTGTTCGATATACGGCTTCCATGTGAGCTTTTTGTCAAGGATTACGCCGAGATATTTGACAGAAGTTTCAACTTTGAAGGATAACCCTCCCAGTAGTATGTTCCTCTGTAATGATACATTGTGTTGTGAGAAAACGCAAAAGGATGATTTTTTCAACGATATGTCGAAACCATGTTCAATTAGCCACTGTTTGTAGTGTTCCATTGAAGAATTTAGCGTAAATATACATTGATTAAGTTGACGGTTCTCTATATATACACAAATATCGTCTGCATACTGGACCTGCTGACATGGGGTTTGCACATCATGTAAGTCTGCCGAAAAGATATTGCATAAAATTGGGCTTAAAACTGCGCCCTGTGGGATACCTTCCTGCACTAGTCGTGGTAGCCAATCTTTCCGCCACTGTCGTTGCGTAGAAAAATATTCCTATCACGGTATAGGTTTGTTACAGTAAAACTAAAGTGAGGTGGGATGCCAAATTTTTCCAGTTTGTTTGGAAGTATGTTTAAATTGATGTTGTCATATGCACCTGTAATGTCTATGAAGATGCCTGCTAAGTAGTTGTTTCGCGTGAAACACATCTGAATGTCGGTGACAATATTCGTAATAGCGTCTGCTCTTCCAACTCCTTTCTTGAAGGCATATTGGTTGTTAGGAAGTGGATGAGATCTAAACCACCATTCCAGGCGATTTTTGATCAATCTTTCAAAAGTCTTCATGACGCAGGATAAAAGAGATATCGGGCGATATGAGTCAGCGCAATTGGGATCCATGTTTGGCTTCAGAATTGGAACTATAGCGATGTTTTTCCATTGGCTAATTGTGTCTGCATTCAGCCAAATGTTGTTAAATATATCCAGAAGGAATAGTTTTGCATTAGATGGGAGGTTCACGAGCATTGGATATGTGATATCATCGCAGCCAGGTGATGTGTTTCTGGTATTTTTAACTGCAAGATTTAGTTCCGTCATGTTGAAAGGTCTGCTGAAAAAGTTGTCTTGATGTAAACGTGGGGGAGGTTCGACTTCTGCAGCCACGAAGGACGGAGAGCATTTTCTATGGAAGTCGTCTGCCCAATCAGAATTAGTTGATGCTTTCTTTCCCATGGGTATCCTTCTGATGATTTTAGCCTGTTTCCAGAGATCGGTTGATGATGTATTTTTATTCAACTTAGATATCCATGCTTTCCAGCTATTTTTTGATTTTTGTTTGAAGAGTTCCTTTGTTTCAGCAAATACCTTCTTGCAGTGGACGAAGTTGGCTAAAAAACTGTCCTGTTCGTACGTTGCTAAAGCTGAGGTCCTTTGTGCTATGGCACTTATACACTGTTCATCCCACCAAGGAGGGGGTGGCCGTTTCTTAGCTTTAAATGGCATTAGTATAGGGATGGAGATCTCGCTAACAGCATTGATCTTTTCAATGAGATAATCGTATTTACTTTGAGTGGAGTAAAATTCTGGAGTAGAATCGAAAATATCTTCCAATAAGTCATGATACAAACTCCAATTGGCTTTTTTCATATTCCACTTATACTTAGGATAGATTGTGTCATATACTTGGAAAGATAGACGAATAAACATAAGAATAGGAAAATGGTCCGAACCTAATGTATCAGAAGTAAGTTGCCAATGACTTATTTGTGCAATATCTCGGGAGCAGATTGTAACATCTGGAGCAGTTACCTGCTGATTTGGAGCTACAAGCCTAGTAGGCGAACCATCGTTCATAACGACTAAATTCTTTGATTCGCATATATAGAAGAAGAAACCCTGCAAACACCCTTTCAATGCTGATACTGTTTGGTATGGTTGATGAATAGGATAATTTCCAACATCCAACTTTGTTTACTACTGAAAGTTGGAAATTTGCAATAAGAACTTCAAAAACTTATTGATGAACAAAATTGTTGACAGTGTTAACACATGTGTATCCTATTCTTCCGAAATTATAACATACCGAATACATACCAACATTGAGATAATCTATGATATACCTACTGAAATAAAATTGATATCAGAATACTAAACCCTTAATTCTATTAATTATAGTACTTTATAATTCTGAACTGGTTCATTTATGGAAAATACTTATTTTTGAAAATATCATATAACAGAACATCAACAGTTCAGCTAAAATAATTAAATCATCAGATCGTTAGAATCAATTTTTCCAACAATAAACCAGATCAAATTTAGATGAAAATATACTTCTAAGTAACTATTACATTTAAATGAATACTCAGATACTAAGTCTACCAGTAATAATACTTGACGTTTTTGACTTAACTGATTTTAAATTTACGCCAGTATAGAAAAAATCGTGTTTGGAAGCATCATTAATTAAAACATCAAAAATTCAAGTCAAGTTTATATAAAAAACGGTACTGGCTATTTAAAATCAATTATTTCATGAATATTTATCTTAAACTAAGCACGAAAAAATACTTCACTAATAACAAGTACATACTATTTAAAAACATTATGCTAAATATTATATTTTAATTTTATAGTAACTAGCTATGCCATATCATAGTCTTTATATGCGGGCATATTTTTGTTGTTGTTTCACCCTTGCTCTTTAGATCTTCATAATTGTAAGTCGTATTTGTTCCCCAATAATAAATATAGTAGTAGTATGATTGAAGATTAATATAGTTTAAAAAACTAAGACTTAATACTGAATAATGAAATGCTTTCAAAATAAAATCTGAGTCTTAGCACTTCATCAGAAATCACTGATTCTTTGACGTAGCTACCCACAGTATTTGGTATCCCAAAGCCATGATTCATAATATAACAGTTTTATTTGCAAATATAAATACACTCATACACATTTCTCCAAATAAGAGTGTTAGTTCCTGCATCATAGCCATTTGAGACATCATGTATACTGCACGAATTATTTACTTAAAGATTATTGAAAATTAAGACAGGTATTTTCAAAAGAAAAAGATTGACGTAACGTATTATAACGTTTTGATGGTTTTTTGTTGATTTATAGGCGATTCAGTATACAAAACGCCCAACTTTGACAGCCTGCCAGTTCACCATCTTGAATTTTTAAACTGTTATTCTTACTTTGAAATTTAGTATTTGTGCGTCAGTTTCAACCTCTCGAATTTCCGCTTGTCAACTTGACCAGTCCAAAAAAGAAATAGGGGAAACCTTTCTGTAAAGCACTATACACTTAAATCAAAGGACTTATACTTAATAGATATAGTATTCGCGGTGACCATTTTTAATCATCACATTATTCCATCATTAAAAATATACCTATGTTAACTTTAACCTTGACCTTGAGGTTGAAGTTCTAATACAGGTTATCTAATGTGTCATTTAAGAGACATTTATGCACCAGTCTTTAAGGGGGGATTAAACTGTCAAAATAATCGCAAGGCCGCGTACATCTATACATTTTACCAAATGGTTTGGAAATAATCTTATACCCTCAAAAGGAGTATACGTTTTAAAACTATCTGAAATAAATTTTATTTTTGGCTCCAAGGACAAGGTTCAAGCTATTTGTCTGACTTGTTTTCCACTGTTTGGCGATCTTAAACTACCTTGAGATATTTAAATGTAGAGATAAAAATAAGCCACCGATTTTAGAATAACAAGATATGCAATATGTTTATATTAAATGTATGCATTGAAGAGCGTGACTCCTTTTGGACGCAAGCAAAATTTTTTAGAGGTAATGTGTACGAACTTTCCCGAATACAGTGTTGAAAAAACTATTTGAAGAGCGGATGTTAGCAAATTTGCCCGCGGGAAGACAAGATCCTAAAAATCCTCAAAAGCGTACACAGAATCACTCTAAATATGCAAATTTTACTGAGTGTGCGAATGTTTTGGAGTTTCTAAGATATATAATAAAATAATTTATTCCACATGATCCCTCGAGTATTTCCCTCACCTTCTAAACTTTCAAAATATAGGTCTGTCACTTTATTTGAATTTTCAGTAACTATTATTTTTCTAGGTGATGGATTTAAACACGATTATATGCTTCAATGTTTATGTCGGTGATGGTAAGTTTAATAGAAACTGATTTCTTCTATAAATTATAGAAATCACGCTCTTCAATATGTGGTTATAGTTAAACAGGCATTTTTAAGTATTTTAGAGTTGCTTCATTAACATGTATATCGAGAAATAGACAGAGACTGCTAGTACAAAAATTACAGCAAATATTACAAAACTTCTAAGAAACATTAGTCTGCAGCGATCGCAAGGAGACATCATTCCAATCGCTCATTTAATGTAGAAATGCAGAAACCCAGAGAGCTATGATAGTGATGTTCTGTATTGGTACCGAATAAGCCGATACCCAAGGCAAACAAACTATTTTCATGCAAAAGTATTCTCAAATACGAATGATCCTGAGTAGAACTAAGAGCGACTTAAGCTCGTACTGAAGGAGTGGCCAAGAGTATCTGAGATTGAACCAACGTCACGTGAATTTAAGAATTTTTTAATATAATAATTATTTTCTAGATCTAGATAAAGACTTGCTCAATGAGTTTTTGGAAATTTCTCTTTTCGAACAATTGATCTATTTACCAAAAGGTTATTTTTGAATGAAGTACTATTCAATATCTTCGATGTAAAGGAAATTCAATTTAAAGTTCGAAAACCCCCCATGGTTAACGTTTTCTAATAAGCGCATGATTAAACCAAATTCCGGAAATTTAAGAAAAACAAAACTGCTGCCAATTGGGAAAATGATAAACAAATGAAAAATCAAACGAGTATTGCCATATATAATGAAAAGAAAAGTTATTTGCAATAATGTATTGATAAAAATATCAATCAAACTGAAGTGCTTTGGAAAAAATTATTAAATTTAAATATTAGCAACAAAAAAACAGGTTGTATTCCCGATCAGCTGAATAATCCGGATGACATAAATAACCATGTTCTTCAGATCTCTCGAGCAAGCTCATCAATAGACTATGACACTTTGGATTACTATTATAGCAATAGGCGTACATCAACACTCTTTTTGAATTTCCAGAGTTTCTCAGGATGTCGTTAAAAATGCACTTCTCAGATATAAATCGCTTGCCATAGGTGCTGGTGGTCTAAATCTTGAAATGATCTTATTGTATTCCCATAAAATCTCCCCTACATTACAAATATAATAAATTTCTGTATTTTAAATAGAGAATTTCCAGACTCATGGAAAATTGCCAAAACAATACCAATATCAAAGAAGTCTGATATTAACGAGTACAATGATCTTCGCCCCATAAGTATTTTACCAGTGCTATCAAAACAATTGGAGATTATATTGGACCAACAAATAAGAGATTATTTAACTGGGAACAATTTGTTACCAGACCATCAATCGGGATTTAGGAAAGGATGCAGCTGCGAAACTGCACTGTTAAATATAACTGACGACATCTTCAAAGCAACAGATTCCAGAAAAATCACCGCTCTCGTGCTCTTGGACTACTCCAAGGCATTTGATAAGCTAAATCACGAAATGCTGTTTGGTATTTTACACTATATAGGGTTTTCCAAATTTGCTAGCACGCTTATGTGCCACTATTTAACTAACAGAACACAATATGTAGAAACAGGTAAACGTATGTCCTCCAAAGATGTCATCCCCTCGGGTATTCTACAAGGCTCTGTTTTGGCACCTCTGATTTTTAGTATTCATACCTCAAACCTTTCCCAATGTCTCCGAAGTTGTCAGGTAAATTTGTATGCTGACAATACTCAGCTTTATTTTTCTTTCAATCCTAACGGGAAATGTGATGCATTGGCCATTATTAAGCGAGATATTGAAAGATTAGTTCTATTTTCGGAAAATCATGTCTACAGATTAATGCAAGCAGAATAACTTTTCGCACCGTTGTTCATAACTGAAATCTGCGGTTTCGGAGCTACATATCACCTCCTCCTCATCAAGCTTCTCTTTTTTGTAGATCTTTCTCATACAACATTTACCGGCTTTACAATCAAATTCCTAATGACTTTAAAATTCTGCATCCAAACCCGTTTAAAATCAAAAATAAAAAAATTATTTTTGAAAGCGACCAAACTAATGAAAACAAAATTTTTTCTTGTACTATAACTCGCATTTATTATTCGAGGCTTTCTAAGGTAGATCTTTCTTTTTATATATATATTTGTGTATTATGTATGTGTATGTATATGTGTATATATGAATGTGTACTAGGTAAAAAAAATTAAATGTATTTTGCCACTATTTTTACCTAACTGTATGTTGCAAATCAACATTATTATTATTATTATATTCTGGATTTTTATTAGATATTCTATAGTCACAGTATTTTACGATACGATCTCTCCTGAATGACTATTATTTATTTCATGAAATGCTCAATCATTTCATGAGATGGTCAATTCGACGATAGACACTACTCTAGTTTTCGCGATTACAATACTTCCTCGCCAGTAGGCGTGGGAAGTAAAGATAATCACTGGCCTCCTCTATCTTGAAAAGTACCTCTTCAGTTGTGACAAAAGTTTGACACAAGGTTACTCTATGAAATATACCTGTTGCCTCCGAAGATCAGTTTAAAAGTGTAAGGATAAAAAACATAAATCTTTGACCCCAAGTTTTATTTTTGCTTATGTAGCATCTAAAGCTGATCTTGCATTGTTTCGCTGATTTACTTCTATGTGTCATGTGAAAAGAAAAAACTCACTGCACTTCACCCACCTCGGTGAAAAATACCACCACCGAAGTGTCAATACTTTTTTTTCTAAGACGTATATGGTTTCATTTAACAGCCAGTGAAACATAAAAATAAATCTTCCATTGAGTGTATTTTTGAGTTTCTGGAGGCTTAAAAAAACAAAAATTTGCGTTTCCATTTTTAGAGGGTTCAGAAATTTTGAAATCGAGCAAAACACATATTTCAGGTGCAAATCTTAATGCTAATACAACCAAAATTTATGTAGTCAATCCGAACGTAGATTTATATTACTGCGTAAGGCAGGATATTATCCAGAAAATAACATCCAAGGATTCTGACCCATTGACGAATAAGGACCATTGTCTTATCAATGGAACTGCCACTTTTGTCGTGGTCTTTATTTATTTATTTAAATCATACTGTCCCATGTATGTCGATATTTCAACGATGTTTCACAATCAGTTTTCTAAATTCAAATTATTTAAAATATTCATCAGAATACAAATAACCATAATAGTTTCATTTTCTACAAAGTTTATTTCAAGACGCTTGTAATCAAGTTGCCGTACTTTTGAAGTATATTCCTTTTCTACTGATGGAAGGACTTAGAGAGTTTTGAAACAATTTGAGAATCCTACATCTGAATAGATAGATCCATTTATTGTTTTGCATTATAACTGCAAGATACATAGAGCTCAAAATATTTTAGCTGAAAACAATATTTAAGACTTACTGCATAAACCAAATAACTATCCTGAATATTTTCCCATCTAAAATATACTGGTTCAAGACGTGAAGAGTACATAGAACATTTTTTTATCGTATAAAAAATGGTCTGTTCATTTCACCTTCTCATGCCTGGAAGGAGGGCGGCTGTTCCCCTTGCCTCCTAAATACTTTCTTCGGGAACGGAAAATATAATGTTATCAACATTAATGTCGAGCACTTCAAAGACTAGATGATGGGTTTTTTCAGTTTGTGAAAACTTTTTAACGGGTCCTCAAACTGAATAAAATCAGTTGTTTATAAAATTTGTTACGAAACTTTTGACAATATATATGAATCATATGAAAAAGAAGAGGCCGGTTTCATCCAAAGTGTGTAAGAAGCCTATAAGACAAAACACAAGAGCTACTTCAAATAGGCTGAAGGTCGAACACACTTAAATTCTTTAATAATCCAGAATGCAGGATTCGGAGTGCGAGATATATCTCAAAGCCTTGTCGACTACACAGATATAATCACAGCTATAGTACCTGCAGCAAAACTGGACTTCTTCCGCAACTCTTGTTTGCTACATCTCGCATTCTGAATCAATAAAGAATGAACATGTATTCAAACTTGAGTACTCCCTACCTTCTCAAGTATACTGTATGCCAGCAGGTGGCGTTTCCAGAAACCCCGTCCTTCTCGATTAAGCCGACCACAAACTCGTCTTCGTTGAGCTGCTCAGCGCTGTCAGGGCCTTTTGGTAGGTACAGCAGGCACTACAGGAGGGATAGCAAAGTTATATTTAGACAAATTTAATTAATCTAATATTTCCCTGACTTTATTTATAGTGGGATTTCAAAATAAATTGCACACTAACAGTGCAACTTTTCCTCCTCTACAAGGTGGCATAATTAGAATTTCAATGTGACGTTTCGTTTCTTGTCCTCCAGATGTTTGCACAAATGCATAGAATTTTCAATTATAATTCCAAAAATGTATAATAATACGTAATACATTGATGTTGCCAAACCTTAGTTATTTCAGAAAAAGCAGAATTTCCTAGGTAGGCCTTGAAATTATCAGATAGTCATTTGTTAGCCCTACTTGATTTATGCTAAAATCGCTTATATTTTTCCTGACCTTATTTGAGATGGGATTCCAAAATTGCTAACATGTTAACATTGCAACTTTTTCTCCTACATAAGACGACATAATTAGAATTTTAATATGAGGTTTCGTCTCTGGTCCTCCAACAACTTTTTAGGGCCACATGTTAATAATAAAAAGAAATTCCAGAAATGTTATTAAAAAAAAATAAAAATTTAAGGGATTACTGTATAACATTTTCTTTCGCCTAAATTTTAGGTTAGGAACAAGATATCAAGTTGCTGTTTTTGTAAGCTTGTCCGACATTATTAAGCTACTTTTAAAAAAAAATTATACCAATGCAATTAATTTTTTGAGAAAATTCACCATTTCTGTCGGGATGTCGAAAAAACCCCTCTAGCAGCCACATGTGAAAATAGAAAAACTTTAAATATTATAACATTTGTAGTTCAAGAATAGCTCTTTTCAACTAAGCCAAATTTGTTAAAATCGGTTGAGCCGTTAAGATACAGGGTGATATTTACGGAAACCCTTGAATACCCCGCCACCACTTTATTTTTAGAGATATTGCAAAAATTATCAAACAAAAATGGTTCCGATTATCCTCTAATTTGAAGATCAGGAATTTTTTTGTTAGTTTAATATATCGGAATTTACAAAGGCATCACTTCCGAAAATTCTTCGACTACGCCCCCAAGTAGTCAGGCATATGTGAGATAAGGGCAGATCTAGAATTTGTATACTCGTACATGAATTTATGTGAAGCCAATATACTTTACTCATTTTTGTATGTTTTCTAAAAATACCCAAACTCTTTTTTCTGATTCTGAAGTGATTACACTGGAGCTTATTTTTAAAAAATAGAGGGCACTAGATTTCCGTTTTTTAAGCAAATATCAATACAAACTTTTGAACTGAATATTTAAAATCTCATTTCTTATATTATATAGGCTTCAAAACCAATTTTAAGAGATTCAGAGATTGTATGTTTGAATAAATTGAAAATATTCGATATTAATGCATGAGAACTATTTGACTCCATTTCTTATTATTTTGTTTTTTGTACTTTTTTACAATCAAAACCTCAAAATTATCACAGAATGGATTATAACAGGTACAAAATAGTGACTGTATCTTTCAGAATGCTAAGCGTGTATTAAAAAGTGGACAAAACCAGGCAAGAGAATGACCCTCGTCTGCTAAGGTCTTTAAGAGTAATGCCTATTATTAATACCAAAATTCAAAGACTGCTGAAAATAAGTAAGTTTTCATTTACTTATCCTTGATATAATGTGGCATTTTGAATAAATCAAGAAATACGGTTTTTAAACATTAGATCTAGAGCTTTTCAAGTATTTTTGGATTTTGTGTGCAAAATAAAAGGAAAACCTGCACAGTAATATCAATAATTTTAAAGAAATACCTTAAACACTGTTAGTCAAGATCGTATAGAAAATAAAGGACTCTTACCTCTATCAGCCAGCGATGTTGATCGGTACAATATGATCGGTACAATAAACTGAAAAATAAACTTCTGGATGTCTGTGGTACCTATTTTATACTATTAGTCACCCCACCCGATGGTCGTACTTATCATATGAAAATAACAACGGTCAGCATTAATGTTGTGAGTGCACATACAGTACCTATCAAAATTACAGAACGGGAACTTTTCGATTGCAAAGCCGAATTTATGTATGAAGGTGTTTTTGCCTCAATTCATTTCAAACCTTTTTGGATATAGCGAGTATGCTTGTCAACTTCTAAGCTTAGTAGTATCGGAGGCCGGAACAGCCAGCAAACTCGTTCGTCCTGAGCCAAACTTTAAGAGTGCCCGCGCAAAGAGTATACGAGCCCCTTCCCACTTCAGTTGGCCCACTTCAAGATTTGTACCAAAATATGCTTTTATAAACTAAACATGACGAAACTATTTACTTCCAAAACAATTTATTTTCTCAAAAACCTTTTAGATACACTCTAGTCGTAAAAAATACATATTTGAAATCACTTAGACCTATAACTAATAGAACATCTGAACAAATAAACAATGTGCGAATAAATGCGCGAAGCTAACAAAGCAACAGTTGAAAGATTACCATTGGGTAACATCACCTTTATTTTTTATTACTGCTGAAATTCTTTGGGGCATAGTGCTAACCAAGTTTTGGCAAAAATTTTGTGTAAAACAATCCCATATTTCTTGAAGCTTTTGTCTCAGTTCGGTGATTCTACGAGCAGGATGTTGTCGTAAAACCTTTTTCATCTCGTGCCACAAAGTTTCAATAAGTGACAGATCTGGACTGCTATAAACCCATTTCAAAAGTGGTACATCATTTTCTTCCATCCATTTTATAGCCTTTTTTGAGGTGTAGCACGCTGCGCCATCTTGCTGAAACACAAAATCTTGTTCGGATGTGAAACATTCTTCCATCACTGGTAAAAGCGATTCTTCTAAAATTGCCAAATATTTGTTTGTATCCATATTTCCATCAATAAAATGAAGTTTTTCTACTCCGTTTGATGACATACTGCCCCAGACCATAATGGATGCTGGAAATTTCACTTTTCTCTTCAGACAGTCAACACGGAATGCTTCATTTTTTTTGCGAATAACTACTGCGACTGTCACCAACATAAACTTCGAATCGGGCCTCATCACTCCATTGTATTGCACACCATTGTTGAGGCGTCCATTGTCTATGTTCTTTAGCCCATCTAAGCCGATTTTTCTTTTGCAGTGGAGTTAATAGTGGCTTTTCTTTGGTCTATAAACGAGTTGTGCAACTTTAGGGTTTTTACTTCACTTTTTTATAAGAAAACTTACCTTGCAAGTGCTAAATTCCAGTTTGTGGGCCTCTCTATGAATTGTGGTCCTCGAAATTCTCCTTCCAACAGCGTCACTCTACAGAGCACTTAATTGTAAATAATGGGCACGCCTGTTTTTCACGATTATTCTTCTTAATGCTCTTCGGTCGGCATTTGTGATATTACTTTTTTTCACATATCGTGGCTTAATATTAACTGAACCAGTTACGTTATATTTTCTAACAATATTTCTCACACTGTACCGCGATAAGTCTAACAAAGTTGAAATTTCTGAGTTTGATTTCCCAGAATTAAAAAATTTAATTATCAGTAACCGAATTTTCTCATTAATAAGCTTTCCTCTACCCATTTTGAAAACCTTAACTACCCAAAACTATTTTAAACGTATTCTGACAGCTGTGATTAATAAAAACAATTGTCATGGCTTTTATTTTTCACAGCCACCTATGCGTTATAGACTTATTTTGCATTGAAATGAAAATAGGTTGATATGCTGTAATTGCAACATGCGTTATTTTTATGCTGCAAATTTGATTAGGGAGTGATAAAATTGGTGTTTTCTACTATATATTATCAAAATATTCATTGTTAATATTTTAAACCTATAACACCCTGCCACATTTTTATTATTTGTGTTTGATAAGAAAAACACTAAGATTTCAATAGTTGGGCCAACTGAAGTGGGAAGGGGCTCGTATATATATATATATATAAAGAGACAATGATCATGCGGAGAAAGGTATATAAGAAAAAGTAGGAAAGTAATGGGCAAAATCCGCAAAAACGAGGAAAGTGGACTTGAGCAGAAAATAGGATAGGCAACCCGAGCGGTCATGGAGTATTTTCCTACTTTTTCTTATATATATATATATATATACAGGGTTATCCAAATTAAGTGTCCACCATTAGTAACTTTGTTATTAGTGAAAATACAAAGTTGTTTGAATTAGCAAACTAGTAGCATTTTTAACGCTGGTAAAAATGAGAAATAAAAAAAAACAATTGAGAGTCGTTATTTTGATTTTTTTCAGTAAAATAACATTTTTTTAAATGGAAACCCCTGTATATTATATTTTTTTCTGTTAAAGCATCAAATTTTAAACAAAAAAGTTCATAATGACTTTTCCGCTAAAGTCAAAAATAAAGTCAAAATAACGATCAATATTTTGAATTATTTGCAGTATTATAATATTAAGACGGCTATGAAAACAACATGGCGTTCGCGATTTGACAGCATTAAGATAAGCGACAAATTGTTAAACTGGACATACTCGCAACTAGAAGGCTTTGGAAAACAATGATAAAATCAAATAATGTCAAACATTAGTGTAAATACTTGTTTATAAGCTTTATTGTGTCATTAATTTAAAGAAAAATGTTCTCGCTCGCATTCAACCGTATGAACGATATTTTCTGAGACTTTATCGAAAATTTAGGGGCAACGAAAATGTTTTTGCTAAAACAAGGGCAAAAAAAGAATTCATAATAAGCGAGGCCACGGAAATTGCAGTTATTGGATATTTTGAAGCTTATCGTGAGAATTCAATAGCAGATATTCTCAAGGACTCTAATTTCAGTTATGGTACTGTTCAAAGGATTTTAAAAAAATACAAATTTATTCCGTATAAGTACCGACCAGTTCAAACGCTTTTGGCAGGGGATCCAGAGAGAAGACTTGTTTTTTGCCATTGGTATCTTAGCATCTGTCGCCAAAATGTAAATAACTTTCGTTACCTTTTATGGACAGATGAATCAAATTTTTCAAATTCTGGAATGTTTAATAGAAAAAACCACCATTATTGGTCAAGAGAAAATCTTTTGTTAGTACATCCAAGAGGCCCACAAGTCCGTTTCAGTTTCAACGTTTGGTGCGGTATAACTGGTTCAAAAATTGTTGGCCCGTTCTTTTATGAGGGAACCCTAACTGGTGAAAGATATGTGGAATTTATGTCAGAAATTCTGACTAATTTCTTAGACGAATTGGATCTTATAAGTAGACATCATCTGCATTTTCAGCAAGATGGCGCACCTGCCCACAACTCCAGAGGTACTTATCATTTTCTAAGTACTACTTTTAATGATCAGTGGATAGGAACAAATGGCCCAATACAGTGGCCTCCCAGATCACCAGATCTAAACCCACTTGATTACTTCTTGTGGGGTTACTTAAAGAACCAAATTTACAAGCGAAGGTACGATAACCTTGACGCGTTAAAGACTGCAGTTAGGGAAAAGATAACCCAGATAGATGGTAGGACCATACTTAACCCTTTCAAGCTTTGTGGTGTCACCATGAAACCACCTTTTTAATAATTTATCACGGCGCTGCGGAGTGGTTATCTGCCGATACCACCGTGTAAGAAGTAGCACTATATTGCCAACTAGTATGAAAAAAATTATTTACATAGGACGCGATTCCTAACAGCTTGTTATTTGACATTAAGAGCTCCCGCAGACTTCCAATTTCAGGTTGGCCAACTAAATTGCACTGTAAAGCAATAGAACAGTAACTTAATGATAGCGCGCACATCTTATCCAATTAAATCGTCCAACTAATTAATTGGACACCGATCGTATCAGAACCAAGATTCCCACCCAATTAAAATGTTGTCCAACTATCGGCCGACTGTTTATTAGCCACTATAGCCTATGCAAGCCCGCCGACTATCCAACTTAGTTGGTCAGTCGCACGGCAAAATGCAAGAGGACCACATGCGTGCGCGTGATTCTCCGGCGCCGCCGCCGGCCCCCCGATCATTTATTGCAAATGAAAAAGTGGAAGAGCTTATAAATGAAGTGTCAAAAAGGCCAGCGCTATACAAAAAAGATATGAAGCAATACTCTGACATTAATGTTAAAAAAAAAATATGGAAGGAAGTGTGCGAAGCACTAATAAGCAATTGGGGAAAACTCAGTGCGAATGAAAGAAAAGATCAAGGTGAGTCAAAAGTTTATTTTATGTTCTTTTATGTGGTAGGTCTACACTTTATCATATTGAAACGGAACAGATCCATGGGGTTGAACAAAATAAGATGTCAGATACTGCCGAACATTTACACCGTTTGTGATATTGCTTCCCCTATTGTTTTCTGAGTGATGATATCCATCCAGAGGACATTCGTACAAAGTATCCTTAAAAGTTATTCCGTCTTTTGATCGAACGTAGTTGTGTAGAATACATGCTGCCTTTATAATCTTAACGGCAAAATTTATATGGACATTTATAGGACGATGAAATATACGCCACTTATTTGCCAAAATGCCGAACGTGCATTCCACTAATCGACGTGCTCGAGTATGTCTGTAGTTAAATATACGTTTTGCGTAGTTCAAATTTTTCTTAGAGTACGGACGTAATATGTGACATGAAAGACCAAATGCTTCATCACCGACAACGCAAAACAGCATGACAGGTCCGTTATCTTCATTAGGGAAGGGTTTTCCACTGGAAATGTTAAGTTTGTTTTCAATTAACATCTTGCCCATCTGTGATGACTGAAATATCTCAGAATCACTACTGCTTCCGTAGGAACCTACATCAATATGGACAAACTTGTAGTCAGCATCGGTCCAAGCCATCAAAACGCAAGAAAAAAATTTCTTGTAGTTAAAAAATGAAGTTCCAGATTTTTGCGGTTGAATGATTCGTATGTGTTTCCCATCTATCGCTCCTATGACGTTTGGAAAGTTTGTACGTTCATAGAACTGATTAGCAATTTGAATCCAATCTTCTTCAGTCTTTTCAGGCATATATTGGGAATGAAGTACATTCCATATTTGCTCACAAGTAGATTTCACTATATCTCTGATTGTAGATTCACCAATTAAGTAGTCAAACGAAAGTTGAGACAAGTATGCCCCTGTTGCTAAATACCTGCAACAAAAACATTTATAATTACAAACAGTTTATCGCAACAAAATATATGTTGTGGACGTTGTTTTGAAATAAAATCACCTGTATTAAGGTGTTCCGACACGGACAAACAGTTTGATCCAAACACGTAGTTTTCTACATTCTCTCTGGCAGTTTCCACGCAGTTTATGATAGTTCACAAACATTAATTCAGTCATTCATGTGTGACTGGGATGAAATATACAGAAGCATACGCAAGTGAGTGAACGCGCATCAACAAATGCCCTAGAGAACAAAGGAAACTACGTGTTTGATCAAACCGATTCGACCGTGTCGAAACACCATTAGTATTAATTATGAAATTAATAAAATTATTCCCAATAACTAATTTTTTTTTTAGGTCATGACATCCAAAAAAAATGGAACAATTTGCGGACCTGCTTCGCTAGAGAACTTAAAGCTCAAAAGTCTGTTAAATCTGGACAAGCAGCTCCTAAACGACGACCCTATGTTTACTTTGAGCGTATGTAGTTTTTGGCCCCTTGTATGCAATCACGGCCTACTGAAGGCAGTATTGAAAGTGAATCAAACCAAGATGACGCTGATTTATCAGAAGAAGCAAAATCACAGCCGCAACGAAAACGAAAAACTAAACAAAGCGACTATGATGAACAAGTATTAAAGGCGCTTCAATCTAATGAAGACGACGATACTAATTATTGCTTATCTTTGGTTCCTTTTATGAAAGAGCTGACGTCTGACGAAAAATTAGAAGTGCGTATAAGAATTTTACAAATATTCCAAGATACGAAGAAGAAAAGATTATTGCCAAATACAATGTATAACATTCAGCCTAGCACTTCACAATTTTCTAGAAGCTCCCGTCCGCCTAAGCGGGTTGCCCCTTCAACTTCCATTCGGATTATTGCTGATGAAATTATTCAGCCAAAACCAGTCCAATCCACAAATCAGGCAATTTTTTCACAGCATATGAAAGACCTTCAACAGCAATATATCACAGAGCCACAGGAAACAGTACCATCTTTTCTACAGCTTTCAAGTCCGTCTGCGGAAAGTCAAACACCACCTCCGCAATGTTCAACTCCATCTCCACATGATAGTACCATTTCTTCATATTGGACAAAATTCTCAGAGTAGTCAGATTCAGAACTTATTGATTTGTAAAAGAAAAAAATACTAATTAGTCTTTAATTTTGATTAAAAGTACAACATTTTGATTATAAGTAAAACATTTTGAATATAAGTAAAACATTAATAAAAAATATATCGATAAATGAGATGTATTTGTAATAAAGTGTATAGGTACCTACCGAAGTGTTAAGCCAACTCTCTCTTGAACAGTGATGGTAAGTCGGAAAGTCGTGTCCTGCTTGATAATTGCTGGCCCGATTTGATGCACAAGTTCATCAAAAGAAGAAATACTCATTCGGTAGAATTTAAAGAACTTTTCTGGGTAACATCTTAGTTTAGAATGCAATGTATGATGTTTCCCATACACTAATCTGTCACTTATTAAAGGATGTACCCAGAATTCTCTCTTTTGTTTTTGTCTTCTCTTTAATATAAGAGCAAGTAGAGCGTTCTTTTTTCTCATTTTCACGCACACGTCACTATACTAGCAACACTGTCACCGACTAAATCGATAGGTCTGCGACTGGCAACCAACTCAATATAGTTGCCCGATTCAATTGTAAAAGTACGCAATTTAATTGTTCGATAGTTGGCCAACCTGAAATTGGAAGTCTGCCGGAGCTCTTATCGATTTGTTTTCGCAGTGTGCAGGTCAATGGCGTGCGTGGTCATAAATTGAGTGTTTATTTTAAAAAATAAGGACAGAATGGCGGGTAAGTACTATATTTTATTGTATTAGGTATTGTTTTATGTTATTATCATAGGCACACGCGATTTTATATATTTTTATTGGTTGCTTTGAATAAAATTAAGGTGGTGTCAATTGATACCACATAGCAATCAATGCCTAATATTTTCGGTGATTTTGGATTTTTGCCTTGTATGTTTGGCAGTGTGTTTGTGTAATTAGTGGGCGTATTTTTCTGTTTTTGAGTAACTTGGTTGTTTTGCTGGGTTAGTTGATCTGCCGTCAGTTCGGTAATTGTGAAGTTTGCGGCGGGATAGAAGTCGATGGAAAAACTATTTAGACTATTGGTTGGTGGGCTACTTGTATGTTGTTGGTATGTTTGTTTATTGGTCGGTGTACTTTTGTTTTTGATTCAATTATTTTACTAAGTTAGCTGCTTACGTGGACAGTGACTAATTGATTGGGGATTTTGTTTCAGGGAAAAAGTGGTCTTACAAAGATTTGGAAAATATGACCTATGAAGAGTACAGGAATGTATTTTTTGAGGACATACCTTCAGGAAATGAATCGGATGATGATCAAAATGGGTCAGATGAAGACGTGCATTTTGCAGCACAAAAGCGGAACAACACCGTACGCGATGGTGGTGCAGTACTTGCAATGTCGGTTTGTGTCTCACTGACCAAAAAAATTGCTTTGAAAAATATCATAGCAAATAAATTGTATGTTTTTACTTCAAACTCCTTTTTATAACATTATCTTAATTAAATATACGTTTCAGTAATATCTGCATTGTATTATTTTAGTGCTTGGTGGTATCATGGTGATACCACCTACTAATTCTTTTTTCTCCAAATGGAAAAATTTTCTGGGCTATTTTTAATGCTTTTGAGATCTTATCACTTCATTTTTTTTCAGCTATGAATGAAATAGTTTAAAAATTTAAAAATATGCCTTGAAAGGGTTAAGACAGTTCGAGCAGTTGAAAAACGTGCCCAAAAATGTATTGAAGAACAAGGTGGTGTTTTCGAGCATCTTCTTTAAAAAAATTGTTATTGTATTTTGTAAGATTATAAGTTGATGTTGAAAATAAAGTTTGTCGATACAATTTAATTGTTTCAGATTGGAGGCCATAACTTCAACAATTTGTAACCTAGGAGAAAAGTTATTGTAAGCTTTTTTGTTTAAAATTTGATGCTTTAATAGAAAAAAATATAATATACAGGGGTTTCCATTTAAAAAAATGTTATTTTACTGAAAAAAATCAAAATAACGACTCTCAATTGTTTTTTCTCATTTTTACCAGCGTTAAAAATGCTACTAGTTTGCTAATTCAAACAACTTTGTATTTTCACTAATAACAAAGTTACTAATGGTGGACACTTAATTTGGATAACCCTGTATATATATATACGAGTATATATAATTCCAAGACATTGGAAATGGATAAAGTCATTATCTCATGGAAGCCAAGTCACGTAGGAAGAGGTTGAAATGCCCGGTTGCTTTCTGTCTCTACAACCACGACCAAAAACCTACAGCGCTGTTTTGTGCTCTTTAGCAACTCACCAGTGCGGTATGGGTATAGTAGCCCTGGAGACAGACTACGGTTGGTCATGGTTACAGTGACGAAGCAAAGACGTTTAACCGTATTTATTTATGAATGCATATACAGGATGCTTCATATTCGACCCTCACTATTGGGATCTCGGGAGCTGTAATACATATGGGGATTGACAATTGATGTAAAAATAAACGAGATTTGGATGTTAGAAGCCATAGCATACAGAACACAACATCATTCACATATCTGGGTGTAACGTTTACGGTGAAAGACGAGAGCAACCAAGTCATTTCAAATAAATTAGCACAGGGTAAAAGACCAATTAGACACCTAAATCCTATTCTATGGAGTACTAGAGTGAAAAACAAATCAAAGAAATTGATATTCAAAGCTATAGTAGAAAGTATCTGTACCTATGGCTCAGAAATATGGGAGATGACGAAAAGACATAAAGAGAGGTTGATGTCCCTTAAAAGGATTTACTGGAGAAGCAGCTGCCGAATCTCCAGACTAGAACATGTTAGGAACAAAAGAATCAGACAAATTATGGAAGTAGACCACAACATCTTAGAAACGATTGAAACAAAAAGATTACTTTGGCATGGTCGCCTTCAACGCATGGATAACACAACAAGGCCAAAAATAGTCTATGAGTGGGTATACCTAGAGCGTCGCAAACGGGGTAGACCTCCAAGAAGTTGAAAGCAAGATGTTCTAGAGTCAATGACATCCAGAGGACTCCAAGAGGGAGACGACTGGATGGAAACCAAGACACGAAGGAAGAGGTTGAAATGCACGGTTGCTTTCTGTCTCTACAACCATGACCAAAAAACAGACAGCGCTGTTTTGTACTCTTTAGCAACTCATCGGCGTGGTATGGGTATAGTAGCCCTGGAGACGGAAGCAAACACATTTAGCCGTGGTTATTTATGAATGCATGTACAGGGTGTTTCAAATTCGACCCCCACCATTGAGATATCGGGAACTGTAAGACATACGAAGTCGCACTAATGGGGGCAATCAACAAAATGCCGCTTAGAAAGTTTCGAAATTCAAAGTACTTCCAGAGAGAGACGGAAAACACCGAATTCCCACAATCGTTTTAATTTTTCCCTGGCTTTATTTGTAGTAAGATTTCAAAATAAATTGCACATTGCCTTATTCTCCGCTACAAGATGGTTTAATTGGAACTTCAATATAACGTTTCGTCTTTTGTAATCCAGCATCAACTTTATTTTTTCTTATAGGCGTCTTGTTGGATGTTTGCTGTGTTCCATAATTTTTTAAGGTTATATGTATTCCTTTTGTTACGTCGAGCATTCGTGCTGAAATAGGTTAAGTGTACGAGAAGTCGTGGCTAAACTTCGCCTATTTCTAGAGAACTCTCATTTGTCATTTTTAAGTAAAGTGGTTTATTATTATTAAATACCGAAAAATGTCTCAAATTCTCAAATAGTATATTTCCGGAGGGCCCCTGTTCCATCGAATACAAGAAGAATTAAAAAAGCTGTTGAATCGTACTTTGTGCTGTATTAAGAAGCGATTGAGTACAAAATTCTTAGATTTTGATTTTTTTTTTAAAGTCTTGTTTATGTTCGGATTAACGTTTTGAGCTACTTAGTAGATACCATTTTAAACGTAAAATATAAAATAAATACAATATTACAGATCCAAATGATTCTAATGTAATAACGTATATGTTTGATGTATAAACTGAAAATCAGATAAAACTTTACAGCCCCACATAGCCTCAAATGGAATTATTTCGTTCTAACTGAATAAGAAGACAGCTGCTAAGTGTGGAAATGCTTATAGTCATGCATAATTATTTATTGGTTTCTTGTATATGGTACAGCTAAACATTTAAACCTAGCACATTAATGCCAAAAACGTACTAGATTGTCGTACCTCTTATAATTTTACAAACACTTTCTTCGGCAATGTCAGTCACAGAACTAAAAATTTAGCCTTAAAATAGTGTTTATTTGTTTTGTGGTAGAATTTTTCAGTCAAAACAATATCAGCATAAACATCCATAGAATAAAACAAATTATAAAAACGGGGAATTTCAAGAACATCCGTACCTCATTCACTTCTCCAAGTACCATAAAGTGTGCATCAACAGTTTTTGAAATGTTTCTTCTATACTCCATGCATAGTCCATTTACCACCAGAGAAAACACAACATGTCCAAGAGCGAGATAGTAAAGGTCCGTATTTTCCTCAATGGTATTGGAATAATCTAACAAAATAAATGATATTTCTATAGAAAGAAGTGCATATACTTTTCACAATTGTGTATTTGCTGGAAATACTTGAATCATCTTCAGAATGGTTAATATTAATTATTACAGGTTCAATTTGAATCCAGATCCCACATCTATGTTTCCCGCCATTCAGCTTCATAAAACATTTTTTTCACGTCAGAAAATTTGAATGTTCTATTGTTTGAATCCACATTGAACATATTTTCACTGAAACCAATATCTTTTGATAGGAGCCATTGTTGAATTTCTGCCTTTCTTGTGGACATTGTGGGAACTTTTTCTAGTTTTCTAGTGTGGCATGCAGCATTATCAAGTACAATGACGGCATTGTCGTGAAGCTTTGGGAGCGTTTCTTCAAACCATCGACCAACCGATCCCTATAAAAAATGAGTGCAAGAATTTAGGACTCTGAACTGATTCTGATTTGAGGTTTGAAAAACATGTTAGTCAACTGTGCCGAACAAGATTCGGTGTCTTCAAGCAATTATTTCCTCATAGAAAAAGTATGAATACTGGTCTCAAACTGAAGTTGTGCGAAACCTTAATATGGTCTAGAATTCACTACTGTGACTGTATTTATGGGCCTGCACTAAGATCGATTGAGATAAGGAGACTTCAGACAATTCAAAATGCGTGTCTTAGATTTGTTTGTGGAGTGAGAAAGCTTAAGACAGTATCACATAAATATCATGAGCTGGGTGTTCAATAAATAGAAGAGCTACAAAAAATGCACGTATTGACCTTGACACATAAAGTAGTCACAACACAAGCCCCTCCATGTCTATCAACCAAATTTATCAGATACTTAGATGTTAGTCGGCTGAACACAAAGAATAAGTATATCTTGGTTATCCCGAGACATTCAACATCTCAATTTAAAAGGTCGTAACATATACGAGGGATGTCTTTTAAGTTTTGCATATGGAAATTAAACAACATGGTAGGAAGTTTTAAATGACTTTATTTCAAAAAATCGCCACCCATTTTCAGTCTGAAAATTTTTAGTATGCACTGCACCAAACAAAACAACTGAAAACTTTTTTGTGTCTTGGCAATGTGGAGATAAGTTTTCATTTTGTTTTGTAGATCTCCGTAGTACCATCACTGTACACGAACCATCGACTGGTAACTGAGATATTAATCAAATCCAAGCGAATAACCAAAATTTCTGTATTATTTAACGCGATTATAATGTGGTTCAAGATGACACACGGGATGATGACGTCAGTTACTCGAATCGCTTGAACACGTTGGTTTTAACCGCGGTTTATTTCAAGTTGTTTATTTTAGAAAAGCGCGTATATAAATACGATTATTTTTATTATCACTTAATAATCGGTGCTTTTTCGGCTACAACGGGGTATGGAAAGTTGAAAAAAAGAAACCTTTCATAGTATTAATGGGAGCAATGTTAAACTTTTCCGCGTGTTAAAGAAAATATTTATTGATTTAGCAGAGATGAAAAAACGACGAAAACAGATATTAGCAAAACCATATACAGGTGGACATCATTCAGTGAGTTAAATGGCCATATTTTAATATTCTTGTGGTATATGGCTATACAGGATACTTTGTTAAGCATAGGAACTAGATTTAAAGTGTCCCCAACAACAGTAATGATTATAACTAACAAGGTGCAATCTTCTGCTAAAACTGAAGTCATCCTGTATCAAGTTTCCAAAAAATGAAGCTGAAGTACCATAAAAATATCCAATACTCGGCAAAATTCTAACTTGTCACATGTCAAATAATAACCACAAATATAAAACTACTCCTGAGTTGGGTAAATACCACAATTTTGCGGTGATAACTATGACATATAACAGCTGATTCATGATGTCACGGATCTTATAACCAAACTGATAACCACACTCGCTTGAACGGATCGGTAAATACCAATCCAAAATGGTAAATACCATTTTCATTTGGTTATCCCCTTGAACTTGATTATAGTCAAAATCACGAAAGATGACTATTACGTCATACCATAAATTGTACTGAAGTAATCAATGGACGTACGTCGTTGATAAAATCACGATTTCAGGAACATAATCACAACAAATTTGTATTATCATTTTGTGAAGCTAGGTTATTTCACTGATTATTTTTATTTTCATTTTATTTCATGGTTTTGAGGATACCGTAATAATAATTTTAGTGGGGAGCTTTTGTTTTGAAAAAAAAAACGGTTATGAGTAGAATACCTTAAGACAGGAACACCAAAGACCAAAGTATTATTCGAAAACCACCTAACTTGCTTTAACATAACCTAACTATTCATCTTTTAAATATGATCGATCATGCAACATGAAAACATCGTCTATCTTTGTCAGATACATGCAAATTGGCAATACAAAGAAGAGGACCAACGAAGCTGTGACAAATTCTCAATAATGAGGTTAAGGGATCTATTTTCATTTCGGATAATGTTTTGGATTCCGAAATACAGTATATGATCTGCTATCTTTATGTAGAATATGTGTAACAATGCTAAACTAAGCAAATCCAACAAGAAAATATTTTCCCTATTTTGTTATTTCCGAATCGAAGTACTTTTTGTTTCGAAGCGGGGTCCTGCCAATTAGGCTTCTACCTCCGCGGCTGTTCCGGTGTAAAACAACAAGTATGTACCTATAGAAAGCCAAACGTAAGTTAGACTGATTAATGTTCGCATGACATAATATTTCAAATCTATTATCAATGAGAAGCAAAAGTATGTACGTCGAAAGCAAGTGGCTTGTAAAATTATCTGAATAAAGCATTGATCATCAGTTTGGCAATTATGAATCATGTTGTATCTAGAATTGAATATATTAGTTCCTATCTATTTATTGGCGATACATGCTTACATACCTTCCCGGTGCATAACCATAATGATAATGTGCTATCTCTAATTTAATATTCTCTTCACAAAATTGGCGATAAGAGCAGAAGCTTACGAATTCCTCCTATTGTTATAAAATGCCACTCACTTCCATTTAATTTTTTTAAGAATACTGTTATTACTCCACTAATTTGAAAACCTGATGGATGCGATCCGAATTAAACAATGTTCAATACTGTTTTATTTAAAAAAACACTATAGCAGCCACGTACTCTGGTGTGATTTTGACAATGTTGCATGCGATATCATTTCAAAAAAGTGTAGAGGTTGAAGAATAAACAAAAGGGATACAAATGAAACAAACATCAGACTGTACAGTCATTTTATTAGAGTTTAAAGAAAAAAAAACATAAACATACCTATATGATATATTGAAAGAAACCCTGTAGACACCCGTTCAATGCTGATACTGTTTGATATGAAGAAATATTTTGTTTACTATTGAATAAGAACTACAAACACTCATTGATGAACAAAATTGTTAACAGCATAACACATGTGCTTGTCTCACCTTGCAGGTATACGCAAACATTGTTTTAATCATCTTATTCTATTCTTCCGAAATTATAACATACCAAATACATACCAACATTGAGATAAAAATCTATCCTATACCTACTGAAATGAAAGCGATATCAAAACACTAACTTCTAAATTTTATTAATAATAATACTTTATAAATTTGAGCTGGCTCATTTATGGAAAATACTTATTTTTGAAATCGCTATATAACCGAACATCAACAGTTCAGCTAAAATAATTAAATTATTAAATCGTTAGAATCAATTTTTCCAGAAATAAACCAGATCAAATGACTAAATTTAGATAAAAATATACTTCTGAGTGACAATTAAATTTAAATTAATACTAAGATAGTCTACCAGTAATAATACTTGACCTTTTTGACTTAACTGATTCTGAATTTACGCCAGTATAGAAAAAAATCGTATTTGGAAGCATCATTTACCAAAACATCAATAATTCAATTCAAGTTTATTAAAAAATGTTACTGGCTATTTGGAATCAATTATTTCATGAATATTTAGCTTAAACTAAGCACGAAAAAATACTACCATAAGAATAAGTACATACTTTTTAAAAACATTATGCTAAATATTATATATTAAATTTATAGTAACTAGCTTTGGCATATTATAGTCTTTATATGCAGCTATACTTTTCTTGATAATTGTAAGTCGTATATTTCCCCTAATAGTAGAATAACAATATATAAGTAACGTGATATTAAGTTAAACATAGTAGAATAGCATAACAACAATAATATAGTTTAAACAAATTGAACCTAATATTGAATAATGAAGTGCTCTCAAAATCAAATCTGAGTCTTATAACACTTTTATTTGCAAATATGAATACACTCAGAAACATCTCTCCAAATAAGAGTGTTAGCTCCTGCATCATAGCCATTTGAGACACCATTTATACTGCACGGATTATTTACTTAAAGATTATGCAGTGCTTTTCACCCCCTTCCCCCTAGCTATGTTTTGAACGGATCAAGTTAGCAAGCTGAAATGGGAGTAATAAAATTGATGCATGAAGTTGAAGGTTTGAAGATAACGACTGGGCGCCAGTTTTGAACATATTTTAAATAGTGCGGAACGTGTTATACCTCATTATAAAGCTTCTTAAGATTACCATATAACTCCAGAATATGAAATTACCATCTTGGAGTTGACAACCAATCATAGAAACGCTATAAAATTTTCTTTACTTGGAAGGATCTAGCCGACTACGTAATAAAATATATTCCATTTAAATAAATTGTCAAAATCTGCTAGTTTTTCAGACTTATATTTTATTGCACATTCAGATAGAACCTTTTACAAAGAAAAAGATTGACGTAACATACAGAACGCCCAAATTTGACAGCTTGCCAGTTCGCCATCTTGAATTTTTCAACTGTTGTTTTCAGTTTGTGCGTCAATTTCAACCTGACACATTTCAGCCTGCTAGCTTGACCACCTCAAAAGGTAAATAGGCGGGACCGTTCTGGAAAGTACTATACACTTAAATCAAATGTTCCATACTTAATACTTATAGTATTCGCGGTGACCATTTTCAATATTCACATTCAAATGCAAAATAATAAATTAACTATAACCTTGACCCTGAAGTTTAAGTTCTTATACATGTTATGTAATGTGTCATTTTAGAGACATTTATGAACAGGTGTTTAAGGAGAGGATTGAACTTAAATAATTATGATTTTCAACATCATCTCAAGGCGGCATCATCTTATCAAAATAACAGTTATGGTTTGGCAGTAACCTTATATCCTAAAAAGTATACGTTTTAAAAGTATCTGAAATAAATTTTATTGTTCGCTCCAAGGACAAAGTTCGAGCGAGTCTTTTAGATGCGAGCAACATTTTTGAGAGGTAATGTGTAAAAATGAAAGGGTTGGAACCTATAGCTCTCCAAACGATCTTTCCCAAACTCAGTGTATGGGCGCCCGTATGTATTTTTCTTAGGGGGCCCGATCATTGGAAAGAGGTTGTTATGATATTTTACTTGCCTCCAAAACTATTTGAAGAGCAAATTTGCCTGGAGGAGGACAGATCCGAAAAATCCTCAAAACTGTACACACAATCATGCTAAATATGCAAATTTTGAGGTTTAACCAGGGCCACGCCTTACTGACCTTCCCCTGCGCCCACGACTCAGTGTGCGAAAGTTTTTAGAATATATAATGAAATAATTCATTCCACATTATCCCTCAAGGATTTCCCTGACCTCCTAAACTTTCAAAACTTAGGTTATCTGTCGTACTAATTCGCATTGTCAATAATTATTATTTTTTATCGTGCAACATTTAAACACAACCATCTGCTTGAATGTTTATGTCGGTGATGGTAAGTTTAATAGAAACTGATTTCTTCTATAAATTTATGTTACTTAAAGTTATCGTCTTGAGACATTATGAAAATAATAAAAAGAGATCACGCTCTTCAATATGTGGTTATAGTTAAACAGGCATTTTTAAGTATTTTAGAGTTGCTTCATTAACATGTATATCGAAAAATAGACAGAGACTGCTAGTACAAAAATTACAGCAAATATTACAAAAGTTATAAGAAACATTAGTCTGCAGCGATCGCAAGGAGACATCATTCCACTTGAAGTTAAAGAAGAAAAAAGTGAACAAAAAATTGGATGTTACTTGAAGGAAACCAAGTAATGATTTCACAAAAGTGTGAAGAGCCGAACGTAGACAAACGTGACTGTTATGAACAACAAGTCAAGCTTCTGTATTGTTCACCAAGTTGGCAAACGTGGAATGAAGTTCGATGTTGAGTTGTCCTCAGCAGCAGACTTAAGAGGTTACTCGACCTGAAAAAATAGTTTGTTATCACATGGTTAAGGAGATATTCTCCATAGTAGACATGGAGATCGTGAAAAATAAAATGGAATTTCTAGGAAATAAATTTAATGGTCGTGTTTTATGTTCTCAAATCGACAACGACTAAGAGCGACTTAAGCTCGTACTGGAGGAGTGGCCAAGAGTATCTGAGATTGAACCGACGTCACGTGAATTTAAGAATGTTTTAATATAATAATTATTTTCTAGATCTAGATAAAGACTTGCTCAATGAGTTTTTGGAAATTTCTCTTTTCGAACAATTGATTTATTTACCAAAAGGTGAGGAAAAGGTCTTATTTTTGAATGAAGTACTATCCAATATCTTCGATGTAAAGATAATTCAATTTAAAGTTCGAAAACCCCCCATGGTTATTTGCAATAATGTATTGATAAAAATATCAATCAAACTGAAGTGCTTTGGAAAAAATTATTAACTTTAAATATTAGCAACAAAAACACAGGTTGTATTCCCGATCAGTTGAATAATCCGGATTACATAAATAACCATGTTCTTCAGATCTCTCGAGCAAGCTGATCAATAGACTATGACAATTTGGATTACTATTATAGCAATAGACGTACTAACATCAACACACTTTTTGAATTTCACACAGTTTCTCAGGATGTCGTTAAAAATGCACTTCTTGGAATTAAATCGCTTGCCATAGGTGCTGATGGTCTAAATCTTGAAATGATCTTATTGTGTTCCCATAAAAACTCCCCTACATTACAAATATAATAAACTCCTGTCTTTTAGATAGAGAATTTCCAGACTCATGGAAAATTGCCAAAACTATACCAATATCAAAGAAGTCTGATATTAACGACTACAATGATCATCGCCCCATAAGTATTTTACCAGTGCTATCAAAACTAATGGAGATTATATTGGAACAACAAATAAGAGATTATTTAACTGAAAATAATTGGTTACCAGACCATCAATCGGGATTTAGGAAAGGATTCAGCTGCGAAACTGCACTGTGAAATATAACTGACGACATCTTCAAAGCAACAGATTCCAGAAAAGTCACCGCTCTCCTACTCTTGGACTACTCCAAGGCATTTGATAAGCTAAATCACGAAATGCTATTTGGTATTTTACACTATATAGGGTTTTCCAAATTTGCTAGCACGCTTATGTGCCACTATCTAACTAACAGAATACAATATGTAGAAACAGGTAAACGTATGTCCTCCAAAGATGTCATCCCCTCGGGTATTCTTACAAGGCTCTATTTTGGGACCTCTGATTTTTAGTATTTATACCTCAAACCTTTCCCAATGTCTCCGAAGTTGTCAGGTACATTTGTATGCTGACAATACTCAGCTTTATTTTTCTTTCAATCCTAACGAGAAACGTGATGCATTGGCTATTATTAAGCGAGGTATTGAAAGATTAGTTCTATTTTCGGAAAATCATGGTCTACAGATTAATGCAAGCAAATCACAACTCATGTTATTTGGCAGATTGAAAGACAATATTGAGCCCACTTTTCATGTCAAAATAAAAAGTGAATCTATACCTTGTTCTGCCATTGTAAGAAATTTGGTAGTAGAGGTTGACTTATATCTAAGATTTAAGCCTCATATTAATAAATGTATCCAGAAAGCTTATGTTTCTCTAAAAGTTCTATATGCTCATCGATATGTCCTCCCTGTTAAACTTAAAATGTTGCTTTGTGAAGTACTAGTACTCAGCCATTTTAATTTTTGTAACAGCCTTTATGGGTTTTGCTTAGACAAGATTGACGTGGATAGAATTGAACGTGTACAGAAGTTCTGCCTACGATTTATTTATGCTATACGTTAGTTTGAAAGAGTTTCACATAAGTTGCATGTGAGTTGCATGTATGTAATCTGTTTCAGAAAATTGTTTTTTAAGCAACCACCATATTTATTCGATAGAATAACTTTTCGCACCGATGTTCATAACTGAAATCTGCGGTTTCGGGGCTACATATCACCTCCTCCTCATCAAACTTCTCTTTTTTGTAGATCTTTCTCATACAAGATTTACCGGCTTTACAATCAAATTCCTAACGACTTTAAAATTCTGCATCCAAACCTGTTTGAAATCAAATATAAAACATTTATTTTTGAAAGCGACCAAACCAATGAAAACAAATTTTTTTCTTGTACTATAACTCGCATTTATTATTCGTGGCTTTCTAAGGTAGATCTTTCTTTTTATATATATGTGTATTATGTATGTGTATGTATATGTGTATATATGAATGTGTACTAGGTAAAGGGCTGAACTTGTATCATTTTTAATTGCCTTCAGCCCTTTTTTGTACCATATCGCATTTAAATGTATTTTGCTACTATTTTTACCTAACTGTATGTTGCAAATCAACATTATTATTATTATTATAATCTGGATTTTTATCAGATATTCTATAGTCACCCTATTTTACGATACGATCACTCCTGAATGAATATTATTTATTTCATGAAATGCTCAATCATTTCATGAGATGGTCAATTCTACGATAGACACTACGCTAGTTTTAGCGATTACAATACTTCCTCGCCAGTAGGCGGGGGAAGTAAAGATAATCACTGGCCTCCTCTATCTTGAAAAGTACCTCTTCAGTTGTGACAAAACTTTGACACAAGGTTACTCTATGAAATATACCTGTTGCCTCCGAAAATCAGTTTAAAAGTGTAAGGATAAAAAACAAAAATTCTTGACCCCAAGTTTTATATTTGCTTATGTAGCTTCTAAAGCTGATCTTGCATTGCTTCGCTGATTTACTTCTATGTGTCATATGAAAAGAAAAAATTCACTGCATTTCACCCACCTCGGTGAAAAATACCACCACCGAAGTGTCAATACTTTTTTTCTAAGACGTATATGGTTTCATTTAACAGCCAGTGAAACATAAAAATAAATCTTCCATTGAGTGTATTTTTGAGTTTCTGGAGGCCAGAAAAAACTAAAATTTGCGTTTCCATTTGAAAAAACACACATTTCAAGTGCAAATCTTAATGCTAAAACAACCAAAATTTGTGTAGTCAATCCAAACCTAGATTTATATTACTGCGTAAGGCAGGATATTATCCAGTGAATAACAGCCAAGGATTCTGACCCATTGACGAATAAGGACCATTGTCTTATCAATGGAACTGCCACTTTTGTCGTGGTCTTTATTTATTGCTACGAGTATTAAATCATATTGTCCCATATTTCAAAAATCAGAGTGGAAGCGATTTCTGTTTGTCGATATTTCAACGATGTTTCACAATCAGTTTTCTAAATTCAAATTATTTAAAATATTCATCAGAATATGAATACAAATAACCATAATAGTTTCATTTTCTACAAAGTTTATTTCAAGACGATTGTAATCAAGATGCCGTACTTTTGAAGCATATTCCTTTTCTACTGATGGAAGCACTTAGAGAGTTTTGAAACAATTTGAGAATCCTACATCTTAATAGATAGATCCATTTATTGTTTTGCATTATAACCGCAAGATACATAGAGCTCAAAATATTTTAGCTGAAAACAATATTTAAGACTTTCTGCATAAACCAAATAACTAGTCCTAAATATTTTCCCATCTAATATATATTGGTTCAAGACGTGAAGAGTACATAGAACATTTTTTTATTGTATAAAAAATGGTCTGTTCATTTCACTTTCTCATGCCTGAAAGGAGGGCGGCTGTTCCCCTTTCCTCTCCTGAATACATTCTTCGGGAACGGAAAATATAATTTTATCAACATTAATGTCGAGTACTTCAAAGACTAGATGATGGGTTTTCTCAGTTTGTGAAAACTTTTTAACGGGTCCTCAAACTGAATAAAATCAGTTGTTTATAAAATGTGTTACGAAACTTTTGACAATATATATGAATCATATAAAAAAAAGAGGCCGGTTTCATCCAAAGTGTGTAAGAAGCCTATAAGACAAAACACAAGAGCTACTTCAAATAGGCTGAGGGTCGAACACACTTAAATTCTTTAATAATCCAGAATGCAGGATTCGGAGTGCAAAGCCTTGTCGACTACACACATATAATCACAGCTATAGTACCTGCAGCAAAACTGGACTTCTTCCGCAACTCTTGTTTGCTACATCTCGCATTCTGAATCAATAAAGAATGAACATGTATTCAAACTTTAGTACTCCCTACCTTCTCAAGTATACTATATGCCAGCAGGTGGCGTTTCCAGAAACCCCGTCCTTCTCGATTAAGGCGACCACAAACTCGTCCTCGTTGAGCTGCTCAGCGCTGTCAGGGCCTTTTGGTAGGTACAGCAGGCACTACAGGAGGGATAGCAAAGTTATATTTAGACAAATTTAATTAATTTAATTTTTCCCTGACTTTATTTATAGTGGGATTTCAAAATAAATTGCACACTAACAGTGCAACTTTCCTCCTCTACAAGGTGGCATAATTAGAATCTCAATGTGACGTTTCGTTTCTTGTCCAAATGCATAGAATTTTCAATTATAATTCCAAAAATGTATAATAATACGTAATACATTGATGTTGCCAAACCTTAGTTATTTCAGAAAAAGCAGAATTTCCTAGGTAGGCCTTGAAATTATTAGATAGTCATTTGTTAGCCCTACTAGATTTATGCTAAAATAACTTTTATTTTTCCTGACCTTATTTGAGATGGGATTCCAAAATTGCATGTTAACATTGCTACTTTTCCTCCCACATAAGACGACATAATTAGAATTTTAATATGAGGTTTCGTTTCCGGTCCTCCAACAACTTTTTAGGGCCACAAGTTGATAATTAAAAGAAATTCCAGAAATTTTATTAAAAAAAAATAAAAATTTTAGGGATTTCCGCATAAAATTTTCTTTCGCCTAAATTTTAGGTTAGGAACAAGATATCAAGATGCCGTTTTTGTAAACTTGTCTGACACTATTTAGCTACTTTTAAAAAAAAATTATACCAATGCAATTATTTTTTTGAGAAAATTCACCATTTCTGTCGGGATGTCGAACAGCCACATGTGAAACTAGAAAAACATTTAATATTATAGCATTTGTAGTTCAACAATAGCACTTTTCAACTAAGCCAAATTTGTTAAAATCTGCTGAGCCGTTAAGATACAGGGTGTTATTTAAGGGAACCCTTGAATACCCCGCCACCACTTTATTTTTAGAGATATTGCAAAAATTATTAAACAAAAATAGTTCCGATTATCATCTAATTTGTAGTTTTTTTGTTAGATTAATATATCGGAATTTACAAAGACATCACTTTTCCGAAAATTATTCGACTACGCCCCAAAGTAGTCAGGCATATGTGAGATAAGGGTAGATCCAGAATTTGTATACTCGTACATGAATTTATGTGTAGCCAATATACTTTACTCATTTCTTGTATGTGTTCTAAAAATACCCTAACTCTTTTTTCTGATTCTGAAGTGATTACACTGGAGCTTATTTTAAAAAAATAGAGGGCACTAGATTTCCATTTTTTTAAGCAAATATCAATACAATCTTTTGAACTGAATATTTAAAATCTCATTTCTTATATTCTATAGGTTTCAAAAACAATTTTAAGAGATTCAGAGTTTGTATGTTTGGATAAATTGAAAATATTCGATATCAATGCATGAGAATTATTTGAATCCATTTCTTATTATTTTGTTTTTTGTACTTTTTACAATCAAAACCTCAAAATTATCACAGAATGTATTATAACAGGCACAAAATAGTGACTGTATCTTTCAGAATGCTAAGCGTGTATTAAAAAGTGGACAAAACCAGGCAAGAGAATGACCTTCGTCTGCTACGTTCTTTAAGAGTAATGCCTATTATTAATACTAAAATTCAAAGACTGTTGAAAATAAGTAAGTTTTCACTTACGTATTCTTGATATAATGTGGCATTTTGAATAAATCAAGAAATACGGTTTTTAAACATTAAATCTAGAGCTTTTCAAGTATTTTTGAATTTTGTGTGCAAAATAAAAGGAAAACGTGCACAGTAATATCAATAATTTCAAAGAAGTACCTTAAAAACTGTTAGTCAAGATCGTATAAAAAATAAAAGACTCTTACCTCTATCAGCCAGCGAAGAAAAATAAACTTCTGGATGTCTGTGGTACCTATTTTGTACTATTAGTCACCCCACCCGATGGTCGTACTTATCATATGAAAATAACAACGGTCAGCATTAATGTTGTGAGTGCACATACAGTACCTATCAACATTATAGAACGGGAACTTTTCGATTGCAAAGCCGAATTTAGTTGGCCCACTTCAAGATTTGTACCATAATATGCCTTTATAAACTAAACGTGACGAAACTATTTACTTCTAAAACAATTTATTTTCTCAAAAACATTTTAGATACACTCTAGTCGTAAAAAATACATATTTGAAATCACTTAGACCTATAACTAATAGAACATCTGAACAAATAAACAATGTGCGAATAAATGCGCGAAGCTGACAAAGCAACAATTGAAAGATTACCATTGGGTAACATCACCTTTATTTTTATTACGGCTGAAATTCTTTCGGGCATAGTGTTAACACATTCACCGCCAAGTCGATTTTCATAAAACTTCCCAGTACGTCACCCATAAGAGCGATTCAGCGGACACTGGTGTCCGCCCTGGCGCCGTTCGTAAAAAAATAATTTTTCGGTCGTATCACGCCATGGCGGACACAATAGCGGACACAAATTAGTCAGCGGACACGAGTATGGCATAACCTAGTTCGGTAGACGTTACTTGTCGTTGGTTTTCCGTGTATTTATTCTAATTTGTTCGATACGAAAGTCATAATGAGCAGTACAACAAGACATATCATGTCCCTTGTGGAAAAGAATAAGAATGAAGACTCTGATAGTGGTTTTGACATGCAAGGTACGTTTTTATTTATGTTATAGTATTTCCATAAAATAGTAGTGTAGATAACACGTACTCTGTGGTATTTAGCGCATGCAATATTTTTGCAAAAAAAAAAAATTTGGATAGCTAATCTAATGTTCACTTATTTGTACGGGGTTGTCGTTTAATATAAAAATAGAGACTTACTGTATTCACCAGGGGTTACTCGTAATACCTGATTCATTGGTTATATTTAGAATACCATATATTCAAGGTTACTGTTTTTCTACTAGTAGCTTTGTATTGTTATTTATTTTGACGCAATTCCATACTTGTGTCAAGGAAAGGCTCTGAATACGTGCGATGAAAAGAAACTTCGATGGAGTATTACGTGTACTTGTTATACTCAAGTTCAAAGCTTCAATTCCTTAACTATTTATTCATCGAAAATAATGAAATTTCCAATTTTATTCTAAATTGCTAAGGACTTAGAATACTTATGAGTAGATACATTACAGAATTTGGACCTGAAATAATTAAAACAAATATTTTAGACGATTTACCTACAACAAAGTTACGTTTTTCTAATAATATTGATTCAGGATTAAACATCTTTCACACGAACATAAGGAGCATTCATAGAAATATGAATGAACTCCATGCCTTGTTGGATATACTAGATTTTAAATTTGATGTTATAGTGCTAACTGAAGCATTTAAAGTATATGATACAAGTTTGATCGAAATTCCCAATTATGATTTATATTATAACGATGGTAGTTTTAATAAAAATGACGGGGTTCTGATTTACGTAAGACAAAATATGAACAGTAGGTATGAAATTATTAATACAACTCAAACAAAACTTTTACGAGTTATTCTTCAAAAGAATAATAAATGGATACAGATCATTGGTGTGTACAAATAACCCTGTATATCTGTAACAACATTTAACGGTCAATTACAAGATTATCTAGAAAGCAGTAGAAAATTTGACATCAACTTATTCATTGGAGACCTTAACATTAACATATTAGATCATAACAATCAAAATATTCAAGATTATTTAAATATAATGGCTGAACATGGTTACCTGTCAGCCATTAACGAAATGACAAGAGTAGAAGGAAACAGTGGGAGTTGTATAGATCATATGTTTCTACATTCATGTTTAGACCTTGACAAAATATATTCAGCAATTCTAAAATACAAAATTTATGATCATTTTCCTACTTTGCTCAAAATCGATCTTGAAAGTACATCAATCAAAATTGAAAAGACAGTGAATAATACAAAAATTTACATTGATTATGAAAAACTAAATAACAACTTACTCAATGAAAATTGGATTGTAGTATATAACGAACCTAATATTGAAAATGCATTTGTCCTTTTTATATCTAGCATTGAAGGCCATATTGCTGAGTGCACCAAAACAGTAAAGATTCCACGAACACAAATAAAAAGACAAGCATGGATATCAAAAGGGATTATTACCTCCATCAACAAAAAAATAGAATTATATAAGGAAACCAAAAAATATCCTTATGATGTTAAACTTTTGAATGAATTTAAATCATATCGAAACAGACTGACAAAAATAATTAAAGAGGCTAAAATTAAATATCTCCAAGACGAGTTTGATAATCTACAAAATTGTTCGTCCAAAATGTGGCAATTTATCAATAAAATACAAGGCAAAAAACAAAACAACAAAATTAGTACAATTAAAAAAGAAAATGGTGAACTAGTGAGTATATATAACAGCGTATACTCTCAAGAGAATAAATTGCAACATCTGCGGCATACTATCATATTTGATAAATTCTTGTATGAATAAAGGAATATTCCCTTCATGTTTAAAACACGCTGTGGTAAAACCATTATTTAAATCTGGAGAAAGAGAAAAACCCATCAACTATCGACCAATTTCCATCTTAACAAATTTTTCTAAAACATTTGAAAAAGTGTTAAAAAAACGATTCACCGAATTTGCAAAAAAATATAACTTAATAGTGGAAGAGCAATATGGTTTTCAAGAAGGCAAATCTGCTCAAGATGCTATTGTAAAATTAACAAATAAAATATACACGAATCTCGATATTGGCAAACCAACTGCTTGTGTTTTTGTTGACTTGGCAAAGGCATTCGACTCTATTACTCATGAATCGCTTTTAACAACTTTAGAAAACTTAGGTTTCCGGGGAATAACATACAAACTTATAGAAAATTATTTGTCAAATCGAACACAGTGCGTCAAAATTAATAACACATTCAGTGAACCCC